GTGTGTTCTGTCACGCAGAGCAGCGTCACTGATGGACTCTTCCCGCTGTCAGCAGGACTCTAATAATCAGATCTGTGAGTCTCATTTAAACTCTGATTCGCTGCCGGCTGTGATGAAGAACACCTGACAGACCACATGAGGAAAACCCATCCTGACGGGTCAGTACAGACCAGACTCAGCAGAGCAGCAGGAGTCTGAGGCGGCAAGACGAGAGCTGGTGTCATACAGTCAACATGCGGTGCTGTCTGAAGGGCGTTTGCAACTAAGTTAAAGTACAGATACTATGTCAAACATTATAAAGCGGATAGTTCCGGTCCTTGATTCTGATTGGTTGAGCCGCGTTCGAAGCTGTTGTAAATGACTCTACAAAGTAACATACAGCTTTGTTTACGTTTGTGTGTTGCTCGGCAACCACTTTGTAGCAACCACAACTGTTTCTGAGGAGCTACATTGTTTGGTGGAAGAATACTGTTTTTATTTATATCATTACACTTTATTTGCTCTGTTTTATTTTGTGAAACCTTACTACGTATATGGAATAACCGTTTTATAAAAGCAATAAGCCCCGTGAAGCCGTGGTTTACAGGGAATTTATAACAGCTAACTCCGCTTCACGTCATAACAACTCCCCTTAGCTGTTATAAATTCACTGTAAACCACGGCTTCACAGAGCTTATTGCTTTATTGTACCTACTCAAAAAATACTTTAAAGTATCCACATTTAATTGTATTTGATTCTAAATCAAGAGGCAGTAGAGATTTTCTCATTCAAGTCAATTTTGATGCAAAACCTGTCAAAAATGACTATTTTCTCATTGTTCTGAACCCACTGAACACAGCAGATGTTAATCTGAAATCTGTTACATGAATATTTTCAGCTAAACTTAGCAGCAGAAATGGTTAAACAATTAAAATGTAACACCTTGTCATTATTTACTCACCCTCGTCTTTTGAAGTCACATTAGAATAAAGAAAAATATTATTTGTCTATTTAAATAATTGAGAAACAATTTAACTGATATATGACATACGCACTTTGTACTTTAAAAAAGTATAATTTTTCAATGTAACTGAGTAAAAGTAAAAGTATTCATACAAGAACTCATAGTACAGATTAAGCATAGAAGTGTAGTACTATTACTCAAATACTTACAGCTGTGGAAAACATTATTCAGTCAGTCAGACTGATTGAACAGAATGAGAGTTGTGCAGTGAGTACATACTTGTTCTGAGGGGAGAATAAGTAAATGGACCAATCCTCTCTCCTCTCACACCAATCCGGACGATAGACCTCCATCATCTTCTGGATACGGAAACACAGGCTCTGCGACACACACACACACACACATGCACGCAGGACTCTGGTTATGTGAGATTAAGGCAACTCTTTCCAATTTATTTTAAATAACAGTTTCATTTTCCCTGGGAGACGTTTCCAATAAACGGAGTAAAATATTAGGATTAATACATCCGTATGGCATCCATATTCATGCGAATGGACAGCTGCTGTGACCCAGCGGAGTTTGGCTATTGTGTTTGCTGTCATTGTTCATAATCAGCTTCTTCATTTTTTTTATCCTCCACACACACACACACACACACACACACACACACGTGTCTGTGAATCTACCGCTGCTGTATTTCACTGATGAGAAGTTTATTAAATGCTAAACTGAGCTGAGTTTCTCCTCAGTCGTCTGTCAGACGTGACTATGTGCCGCTCTTCTGAAGTCGCTCTAATGATACGCTCAAAAATTTTCACAATAGCGTTTTTAAATCACTTCACTGAGAGGAAGACCTTCCTAAAGGACCTTTAAAATTGTGAGGGAGCATCAGGCTCAGAGAGAATGTGTAACTTTATTCCACTTTTCATGTGCTGCTTCTCAAAGAAAATCATCTGAAATTAGTATAATGGATCCAACAGCAGAGCTGAGAGAACTGAACACTTACTAAAGCATCAGCGCATCTGTCTGTCCACCTGTCTATCCATCTATACATCTATCTAACATCTATCTCCCTATCTATCCACCTGCCTATGCATCTATACGTCTATCTAACATCTATCTCCCTATCTATCCACCTGCCTATACATCTATACGTCTACCTATCTGTCTGTCTGCCTATCTACATGTCTATCTATTTACCTGTCTATCTATCTATACGTCTATTTATACGTCTATCTGCCTATCTATCCATCTATGTCTGTCTATCCATCTATCCACCTGTCTATCCATCTACATCTATATATCCATATATACGCCTATCTATTTACCTGTCCATTCATCTATGTCTATCTATGTCTATCTATCCGTCTATCTGCCTATCTATCCACCTGTCTATCCATCTACATCTATCTATCCATCTATACGCATATCTATTTACCTGTCCATTCATCTATGTCTATCTGTGTCTATCTGTGTCTATCTATCCGTCTTTCTGCCCATCTATCCATCTATATGGTTATCTAACCATCTATCTGCCTATCTATCCATCTATCTGCCTATCTATCCACCTGTCTATGCATATACATCTATATATCCATCTATCTGCCTATCCTCATGTCTATCCACTTATCTACCCATTATCCATCCATCCATCTATCTGCCCATCCTTCTGTCTATCATCCATCTACCTATCTATCCATCCATCCATCTATCTATCAATCAGTTTATCTGTCTGTCTGTCTGTCCAGCTACCTATCTATCTATATATTTATCCAACTTTCTATCTATCATCTACCAATCTATCTACCTATTTGTCTGTCTATCCTTCTATCTTTATGTCCATCCATCCATCCCTATCTATCTATCTATCTATCTATCTATCTATCTATCTATCTATCTATCTATCTATCTATCTGTCTGTCTGTCTGTCTGTCTATCCATCTGTCTGTAAGCCTAAACAACAAAACCTCATTTATAAGAAACACTTATAGCCGTTGTAACAGGATGTTGTTCTGCACTCACATATTCGGTGTCTTCCTCCAGGTCATTCTTGTTTTTGCGTGCATTGAGCTGTGGATAAACCTCTCCCAGCAGTGGCCCCTGAGGGCCCGGGCCCTTCCCATTACAGTCCTGGTGTTCTGCAGACACACTCTTCTTCCAGACCAGCGGGGGGCGCTGCAGGAGCTCGGGCAGCTCAAGTGATAGAGCGCGGCGGTGTCGGCGAGACAGGAATGGCGGGTGGGGCAGGAGAGACTCGTGTTCGGCGGGGTGCGAGTGAACGCCGCGGACTCGTAAGCTCCCCCCGATGACCCCTCCGGCCCTCAGGCCACGGGCGGAGCGACCCGCGCTGTTCCAGCTACACCGCCGGCTCCAGGACGGCTGAGGGGGAGGACGCCCCCAGTGATGGTAATGGGAACTGCGGCTGTGGCGCTACAGAGAAAGAAGGATACTAATTATTTTTTTATGACCTGGGGCTGAAAATCTTCTTAAGAAAGAAGTTAAGAAATTTCTTAAGATAAATTCCAAGAATTTGTAAGACTGCAATTGAAAAATGCTTAAGAAGTTCTCAAATATGTTCTTAAAGGGGTGGTTCACTGTTTTTTTTCTAGGCTTGATTGTGTTTATGTGGTGCAGTCTAACATGTGTTAATGCTTTGTTTTTAAAAAAACGCATTATTTTTCACATAATTTACCTTTATTCCACACCGCTCTGTCCCTTCTCTGAGAAACGCGCTGATCATTTCCTGCTTTTATGAATCCCCGCCCTCAAAAATAGGCGATGGGCTCTGATTGGTTAGCTAGCCCAGTGTGTTGTGATTGGCTAAACCGCCTCTAGTGCGCGTCTAAGCGTCCCGCCCCTCTCCTCAGCGGCATGTGCTCCGGTTGTATTGTAAACAACGGCGTCGTTAATATCGCTTATCAGTTTGAGCCCGATTGAGAAGCAGAGGATATTATTGAAGAGGATCGTGCCGAACCTGTGCAAGCACACAGCTCTTAATGTGTGTTTTTTGTTTGTTGTTGTCTCATACTTTTAGATATGCTGTTATCTTTGGTGTTATCGGACTGAATGAATGCCAGTTCTTGCCGAAGACTCGCCAGTCAATTCAATGAAAAACAACTCAAAGGACCTGTTTTTTCAGATTACCGTACCTTTGGATTTAGGACGAGGATATCCTAACTTAAGAAGTAATTTACAATGATTTTAAAGAAGATTCTTTTCAAGAATTTGATCAACCTTAGGAGAAAAGATAAAAACATTCTTAAGAAGTGTTTTTGGAAACACAAAATATTCTTCATTTTCTTCTTAAGAAAATAAGAAGAAACTTGCAGTTAGGAAGAATTTTATTCTTGAATTCGTCCCCTAACAAGCTTTTAAACACTGCAGATGAGTTAACTTCACACAGTCAGGTGTGTGTGGTAATTGCAGTCGGGGTGTTTCTGATCTCGCTGACTGCATTCGCTCATTTTTAGCAGCATGAGCCGAAAAACCAGTTGCCATAGAAACTTGTGCTCTCCGGCATCAAGCTCTCGTTTTGACCTGATGCTCACATCAGCGTTCATCTGACCGTCAATAAAGTGACACAGTTCAAGCGCCATGTTTGGTGACTCAACATCATCAGGATGAGTGTGCGATCAGTTTCTGTCTGAACATGCACAGAGTTTTACAGTGTTTGAACATGTTCCCAGAGACTCTTTCCCACCACAGTCTCCCGACGGCACGTAACTTCAAGAACAACAGCTCAACGCACTATATTTAACCCAAGCGGCTCACGCTCGTCTCTCTTTCGATACACACGGCTGCCTCAATTAAAAGAGGGGTTGCTATGGAAACCCCAAAAGCCTTGGCTGAGCGTCCGTCGCACATTATCAAGAGAATTTGGTCTCTCGCAAACACACACACAAACACAGATGAGTCTCTGCTTGAGGGATTTTCTAATTCCAAACATTAATCTGCACTAATGTTTCCTTGACTCATTACATCCACAGACACACAAACACACACATGACGTGATGACACTGATTTCTTCATCGACTGACCAGAGACGAGGATCTCCTGTCCAGGCAGATGGTTCTGCTCCGGTGGTTTTCCTCTGAGAAGTCGGTCCTGGTCTTCTCCTCCGCCAGCGGTGCCAGATCCAGATGCCCATTAGGAGTGAGAGATGACAGCTTGGGATCTGGAGGAAAGAAACAGCAGTCATCCAAAGCCAAGAGCAGATCTCTGGCCATCAACACACGCTGTGAAGCTCTCCGGAGACGACACTAATGTCTCCTTCATGAGTCCCTGTGGAGTTTCTCGCCCTTTACAGCCACAGAAACGCAGAAACTGGAGGACTAACAGTCCATCAAAAGTGTCCCACAGGATTAAACTATAAAAGACGCTCGGATTTCACCAGCTCAAGTCTGTTCAACATCTCAATCAAGAGCAACGACACTGGTTGAGTAGATTCATACAGTGATGTTTACAGGACATAAACATGTTTTCTGCAATCAGATTGGCTTTACATCATTTCCAGGACTTGAATATGAGTCCAAATCAACATCACAGTAATAATAAGTCAAGACAGACACATAGATGGAAGAGATGCATTTCAGTCCGAGTTTTTCAATGTTTCATGGACTTCATCTACACTAAGATAAGTACAACTCTTGATTCGACTGTACACACATCTATTCCTCACAAGCTTGTAACCATTCATGACAAATGAAACATGGCATTGAGCTGACTATAGTTGAAGGGTTATATAATGAGAGTGAATGTGCAGGGATCATACCGGAGGACGTGAGCGAGTTTTTGTGCTGTTCACTTCCATTAGAGGAGGATCCTTCATCATCATCATCATCATCAGAGTACGAGCGATTGGCATCACCCTGAAACACACGGCTCACATCAGCATGAAGAACACAACAACCCACAAACAACAGTCGGCTGAATGATTTCACTGTCAAAGAGCAACACAAACTGAAATTTATAGATTACAGATTTACGGAAATAGAGAGTCTGGTGAGGATGCACGTGACGAGCTGCACAAACCTCACTGAACACCATGAGTTCCAATCAGAAACAACCCAATAAAGAACCTCTTTATCTATATTTTGCTTGGTCTTTAAGTCTAAATCACTTTTTACAATAAAGAGGAAAATCTTAACTTCAAACAAATCAGATTTCCCCATATAATTTTGAGAGAAAAAAAAAGAAAAAGTTTTATACATACACACATATATATATATATATATATATATGACTAAAAACAACAATAAATTAAATTATGTTTGACCTCAAAAATATAAAAAATAAACAAATTCAATAACACTTTACAATAAGGTTTCATTTGTTAACATTACACATTAATATGAACTAATGATTGAATTCTACTGCATTTATTAATCTTAAGTAATGTAAATTTTAACATTTACTAATACATTAGTTAATGCACTGTGAATTAACCTGAAACAACAATGATCAATATTAAGAAGGATTAATAAATACTGTAAATATATATATATATATTTCTAATTGATAGTTCATTTTAGCTAACAAATATTAACAAATGACTGAATAGCTGCTTTGCTTCCCTCCACAAATCTAAGGATGTATTAGTATTAGGTATTAAAATTAAAATAATTCATAGAAGCTACTCGGATTCATTCATTCATTTCTTTATTTAACCAGGTTAAAAAAACTCATTTAGATTAAAATCTCGTTTACAAGAGTGGCCTGGCCAAGAAAGCAGCAACAATTAACATAAATATACAAGTTTACATCAAAAACACAAATCAAAGATCACAACAACAATTTACCAGAGGATAAAACACATAATTTGTTAAAAGTAGCTTAAACTCATTTAATGACGGAAGCATGGTCAACTTTAAGATGTTTTGTAGATTATCCCAAGCCAAAGATGCATAATATCCAAATCCATTTTTTCCTAGCTCTGTTCGAACCCGAGGAAATGATATAACAGATAATTTGAGCAAAGTTTAAAGCGCAGATTCATTCATTGTTCAGAATCAAACGGAATCAGACCGTCTAATCAATGAAGCACTGAACAGTGTGTTTGTCACCTCGGCCTGAAATCCCTCCACCAGAATAGCCACCAGCAGGTTGAACAGCACGTAGTTCCCAAATGTCATCAGAGCCACGAAGTACAGAGCCACCAGAGGAGACGTGGAGGCCATGCCGTTATACAAGACCACGTTCCAGTCCTCCTGAGTCAGGATCTGCACACACACACACACACACACGGCTGAGGAGAGACTGTGTGTGTGTGTGGGTGTGTGTGTGTGTGTGTGAGAGAGTGTGTGTGTGTGTGTGTGTGTGTGTGTGTGTTTGTGGGATGTCTCTCTCTCTCTGTACCTGAAACACAGTGACGATTGCCCACAGCAGAGAGTCAAAGTTCTTCCTGTCTGGGACCGTGTCTCCGGTGTCCGTCTTCAGACTGAACTTACAGCCAAATATATGCATTCCCAGAATACTTCACACACACAAAGAGAGAGAGAGAGAGAGAGAGAGAGAGAGAGACGTGTTTCAACAATACTCCAGTAGTCTAATACCATTAGTCTCAAACTGACACACACACACCTGAAGATGAAGATGAAGAGCATCAGCAGCATGCAGAATGTGGCCACATTGTCCATTGTTTTCATCAGAACCACCAGCTGTCTGCGCAGCGCCGGCATGAACCGAACCAGCTTCAGGACCCGCAGCAACCGAAAGGTGCGGAGCACCGAGAGACCGCCGTCAGACTGACCCACGATCTCACACACGCTGCGATTGGGACGCTCATGTTTTAGTGAAAGCACTTCTATTCTTCCGTACAAACATCTGTTATTTGAGCAGTCAATTTGTTTTGTTGAAGTTTAGTGAAATGATTCTATCACACACGTCTAGGGTTGCAAAAAGGTGGAAAATGTCCAGTAATTTTCGGGAAAATTCCAGAAATTTTGGAAACTTTCCAGGATTTTTTGGAATATTCCAGGGATTTTTGGAAAGTTTCCAGAAATGTTCCACCCCTTTGCAACCCTACACACGTCACATGATAACTGTATTTACAAAACTACAGGCAAGTGTGCTGATAAAAACATGATTATGTTTTGCTTGTTGATACAAATCAAGACTGAGAGTTGAGCTGAAGTCAGTAAGATATGCACTTTTTATTAAGACTGCATTAAACTGATCAAGAGTGACAGTAAAGACATTTCTAATGTTACAGAAGATTTCTATTTCAAATAAATGCTGTTCTTTTGAACTTTCTATTCATCTGTGAATCCTGAAAAATAAAATGTATCACAGTTTCCACAAAAATATTGAGCAGCACAACTGTTTTCAGCATTGATAATAATCAGAAATGTTTCTTGAGCAGCAAATCAGCATATTAGAATGATTTCTGAAGATCATGTGACACTGAAGACTGGAGGAATGTTGCTGGAAATTCAGCTGCGCATCACAGAAATAAATTACATTTTAACAGATATTCACACAGCTAATTGTAATAATATTTTACAATATCACTATTTTAACAGTATTTTTTATTAAATAAATGCAGCCTTGGTGAACAGAAGAGACTTCTTTCAAAAACATTAAAAAATCTTACCAACCCCAAACTTTTACGTGTGCATGCATTTTAAAGTGTATTAACCTCTTAACAATACTTTAAATGTAACAGAAAAGCGTCAGTAGGTCTTTCACTGGTCGTTACCTGATGATCACGATGATCCCATCAAAGATGTTGTACGGATTGCGCAGGTATTTAAAGCAGCCGAATGCTGTGAGCTTGAGGATCATCTCCAGAGCAAACATACTGGTGAAGACGATGTTACAGATCTCCAGAACATTAGTGAGCTCCTCTGGCTGAACACACACACACACACACACACACACACAGGATCAGAACATGAAACGCATCATTAACTGAAATAATGAACAGAAACAATGATGAGACACAGAGATTCTCATCAACTTGTCCTTATGTTCTTCAGCTCATTCAAGAATCACTGGAAGAACACATGGACAGCAAAATCACTTGATATCAACAGGTTAATGCTGGTTGAAGGTGGGGCTATATAAAAAACACTGCATCTATGAGACGGGGGTGTGTGTGTGTGTGCGTGCGTGCGTGTATTTGTGTCTGTGTGTGTGTGTGTGTGTGTGTGTGTGTGTGCCTATTTAACCATATTTTGGTGACAAATTTGTACCCAAAAGTGAGCTAAACCTGACAAAATCTCCAAAAACCTCCCTTTGGGGACGTCCTCATTTGTAAAACTGGTACCTGCTCATGGTGCTCTATGCCCATGCTGATGGTGTTGATGAGGATGGCCACCATGATTCCTCTGTTGAAGTATTTACTCTCCACGATGCTCCACAGTTTGACCCTCATCTCCATCCACAGCTCTCGGCTCCGCCCCCGACACGCCCCCTCTGCCCTTTTGCACCTCTCTGTCTCGTTGTCCACCTCTTCCTCTGTCTCCTGATTGGCTGCTGAGGCGGCAGGTGCAGCTCCATCTGTAGTGCAGTGAGAGAAGAGCTTAGAGCTGCATGCATCCATCCATTCATCCTTCCATCCAATCCCCACCCTCCCCTCCTGACCATGTTGTTGGAGGCTCTTCTCTCCTCCGTTGATGTTTGTTTTCTCATGCATCTGCTCCGGTGGTTTGCAGCAGAGCATCCTGAAGAAGTCAGCGGTGCGTCGGCGCACCTTGCGGAGGACATGGCAGACAAGCTGGAAGATCTCTTCGTAGCAGTTGCCGGGTTCGGCCAGCGTGCTAGAGGACAAACAGGCGGCTCGCTGCTCCTGCATCAGCTGATGCTCACGCTGTTTGGTCTCTGAAAACTGAGTCGCTATGACAACCAAACACAGGTTTATCATGAAGAACGAGCCGACCTGTGGAGTTACGCAAAGATTCAGAGACAGAAGCACACTCCTCATCACTGCAAACACCAAACTGTCTCACTGCAAACAAACTTTTCATTGCATTCACACAGTAAATATGCTCCAGTCTCACTGCATTCCAAGCACACTTCTGACTGTAAACATGCACCCAGTCTCACTACACACACACACCTCACTGCAAACACTCGCTCATCTCACTGCAAACACTCGCTCATCTCACTGCAAACACTCACTGCAAACACTCGCTCATCTCACTAAAAACACTCGCTCATCAAACACTCGCTCATCTCAATGCAAACACTCACTCATCTCACTGCAAACACTCACTCATCTCACTGCAAACACTCACTCATCTCACTGCAAACACTCACTCATCTCACTGCAAACACTCACTCATCTCACTGCAATCACTCACTCATCTCACTACAATCACTCACTCATCTCACTGCAAACACTCACTCATCTCTCGCTCATCTCACTGCAAACACTCGCTCATCTCACTGAAAACACTCACTCATCTCACTGAAAACACTCACTCATCTCACTGAAAACACTCACTCATCTCACTGCAAACACATAGCTGCAAATACCTATCTCACTGCAGGCACACTTTTCACAGCAAACACACACCTGACAGAACAGGTAGAACTATTTGCAGGATTATTATGGGATGCCCACATTAAGCTGAAGGAATACTACATGCTAAGTCTCATAGGAATACACGCATCTATTAAACTCTATAAACGCATTCATAAACAGATAAAAGAATATCCAACAGGCCTGAAGCACCAACAATATCAACAAAATGAATCATCAGCATGTCAGATAAAACACTCTATATTGCTCTTTTAGAAGAGACTCATAAATCTGTGTGAGTTTGTGTGTGAGTGTGTTTGTGTACTTACTATAATCAGCAGAATAAAGTAGATGAAGTTGTAGAATGAGTGAGCATCCATGACGTAATACATGATTTCCACCCAACCCTCCAGAGTAATAACCTAAACACACCATCATTTGCAGAAAAACACTTCAAACAGTTCTCTGGAAATGAAGTTTGCTTCCAATAAGTTCACGTTAAACACAAAGAACATCAATCAGCTGGATGACTGTTTTCACAAGTTCTACGGTGGAAATGAGTCTCCAGCAGATACCTGAAATATAACGATCCAGGCGTATCCGATGTTGTCAAAGTTGATGGCTCCTTTGTGTGGGTTTCTGTGTCCGGTGTGGCAGCGTGTGTAGTATCGGTTCCAGTTGACACAGAGCCCGGGGACGACGGCGCTGGCGTTGAGGAAAGGCTCGGTCACGAGGCCCAGCGCCTGATGGTGCAGGAGATCATCTACTTCCAGACAGCACTGATGTCCCGCCACACGCCGCGCCGGCACGTCACTGCACGACATGATGCCATTATCCTGCAGCAGAGAGCAGATGAAGGGCCTCTCGTCCTTCTCATCGGGAGAGTAGTATGGAGCAGGGAGTGCCACACCTGTTGAGCTGAGAGAAAGAGGAAGTAGATTAACACATGATCAATGTGTCCAAAACCTAATCAGATGCTTTACTGCCTACAAACACTGCAAACGATGACTTTCTTACTTAGTATTTTCAGTACAGATATCTAAGCATTTGTAAATCAAGACCCTGCAAACAGGGTATGTACTCACAACTTTTTTAAAAGTTAGGACAAAACATTTTTAAAGTGTTTTTAGTTTTAAATGTTAATGGAACGTTCTTACAGCTTTATTAATATTTGATATGTTCTCGTAAAGTTGCGAGAAAACATTCTTAGAACAACATTCTCGGAACATGTTATTTGTACTTAAACGTTTTAGGAAACGTTTTTGTAACCTTTAAGTAATTTTATAGTCATGACAAGAAAACTGGACATTTCAGTGTTTTAAGAATATTTCAAAACAAACTTCCCGCAATGGTTTTGTGACCTAAATTTGTTACCTGGGAATACAGTTACTTAAAAAGCAAAATATAATTCTTTCTAAAAAATTTATCAAAATGAAAATAAAAAATGTCTGAAAAAAAGCCTCGTTTTCAATCTGAATTAAGTTTATTTCTCTGACCCCATTGGCAAATTTTTAAACATAAACTAACTTCATTTTTATCGATTTTATTGAAATCATGACTTAATATCTTATGTAATTTTGCTTGCGTCCTGATTTAAGAATGTTTCGATATTTGTACTGGAATCCAAGACAAAAGCACTGAGGAAGAAAATCATTGTTTGCAGCATTTCAACTGATATGAACCCTAAAAAAATAACTGATTTGGGAAAACTACCTAGGGAGCATGCTGCTAATTTAACAACATGAAAGTATAAAAATACACACAAATATTGTGTAAAATAACAAACTTGCATCTGCACAATTAATTTTTGGAACAGCCTTTGATTTAAGAGACTAAAGATGCTCCCTACATAGGCTGCTCACCAGGTTTTGGAACAGAGCCACAGCCTTCATCACATATGTGTTTACACTGATTTAGAGTATATCTCTGACATATAAAGACCAGCATCCAGAAGCGCAGAAACACACACAGATGGTTTAACAGAGCTCAGAGGGTCAAAGGTTTTATTGGTAAAATGAATAAATGTAAATGAATAAAATGAGCTTCCAAATGATGCTGAACATCAGAGATTTACTGCTGACCTACAGATAAAATATTCTTTTGATATCATGTTTCTTTGTTTTTAGCGTCAAAATCCTGAAACTTCAGTCATGTCCAAGTTCAAATGGACATTAAATCCACTAAAATAAATTTGCCAGTAAACATGATTCTATATACAGTGTGTGTATATATCTGTCCTACTGATCAAAAGGTTAGAAATTAATTCTTTTATTCATAAAGGACACATGAAATTGACCAAAAGTGACATTAAAGACATTTCTAATGTTACAAAATATTTCTACTTCAAATAAATGCTGTTCTTTTGAACTTTCTATTCATCTGTGAATCCTGAAAAATAAAATGTATCACAGTTTCCACAAAAATATTGTGCAGCACAACTGTTTTCAACATTGATAATAATCAGAAATGTTTCTTGAGCAGCAAATCAGCATATTAGAATGATTTCTGAAGATCATGTGACACTGAAGACTGGAGTAATGATGCTGGAAATACAGCTTTGATCACAGAAATAAATTACAGTTTAACAGATATTCACATAGAAAACAGCTGTTTTAAACTGCAATAATATGTCACTGTTTTTAGTGTGTTTTTGATCAACTAAATGCAGCCCTGAAAGAGATTTCTTTCAAAAACATTTTTAAAATCCGACTGAACCCAAGCTAGTGTATTAGTGTATTAATTTGAGATTTTCTCCTCAGCGCTGTCGGGATCCAGAGCTTCAGGACAGTCAGTCATTATTAAAGCCGCTCTGAGCTGCTGTTCTCCAGGGAGCTGGGTTCAGTGGGCTCTGCTAAAGACCGATGGGACAGAGATGTGTTAAAAATAGAGCAGAAGTAAGACAGGAGATTATTTGCAGGAGACTGGAGGGAACATGGGAATAATATTACTACAATATTACTAAGGAGTACGTTCTTGTCCAAGACACCTCAAACAAGACTCAGAATAGAGCAGAAGAGCTGAATTAAAAGGATTCTTTCCCTCAAAAGTGAAGTTTTTTACAAACACGCAGCTTTTGTCGTCTCCAGATGTTAACTGATGAACTGGAGTGGTGTGGATTATTGTGATGTTTTTATCAGCTGTTTGGACTCTCATTCTGACGGCACCCATTCACTGCAGAGCATCCATTGCTGAGACACTGATGCAATGCTACATTTCTCCAAACCTGATGAAGAAACAAACTCATCCTAATCTCTGATGATGGCCCGAGAGTGAGAACATTTTCATTTCTGGGTGAACTATTCCTTTAAAGTTGCAATGAAATGCAAGCAGCGACAGGTTTTTTCTTCTGCATTTGTTAGAGTACTAATGTTAATAAATGGATCCTTATTGTAAAGTCTTACCAAACAATAACAGATATGCACAGATGAATTGTACACTATGAGATCTATAACATGCATTCATAAAATAGGTGAATTTCCATTGCATGCTGACTTTGAAGCTCTGTGAAGGAGCTGTTCATTCTAGGTTGATGTTCTTCTCATCCAGCAGATGTCTTCATCAGGTCCTGCGTGTCAGATGTGTGTCGTGAACTACAGGTGCGACTGACCTCACAGTAACACTGAAGTGTTTATTCTGGAGACTGCTGCTTTCCTGAGCGCTGAAACACACACCGTCCATTATCACAGCCGCCACATCCGTGACATAACAAGGTCAGAGCCATAAATCTCCCAGCAGCCCCTGCTGCGCGCCATCACTCATCACACAGAGGAGCATTAGAGGAACCACGGAGAGAGACCGGGAATCTCACATTTCACCCCGGAATAAAAAAATAAGCATATTTTACCATTTTTAGGATCATTAAAGTCGTCAAATTTATTTGCACGCCATTTTTCACAACACACACCGTTTCAAAGCAGCTTTACAGAAAATCATGACGTTGATGTTTATAATATCTTAACATCATCATGCCTTATAGATGCATTTATCAGATCACAGCTGAACGATAATAAAGTTCACATTAATGCGCACATTAATTTTTCACAGTAAAATCATGCATTTAGAAAACAGACAAGCTTATCGATTTTCTAAATGCATGTTATTGATATTATTGTGAATGATTAATTTGTGCATGTGTTCATTTATTTTTTTTTTTTCATTGTTTTGACCTCATTGATTTCATAACTGGATCTAGTGAAACAAAATATGGTCAACGTATGACAGACTTCTCCCATAATTTATTCTGCATAAACTCTGTCCTTTTCTAATAATCAGACGCAAGCTCACATTCAGATCCGCCTCCATCCAATCAGCCACCGATGCACAGAATCAAGACCCGCCCTATTTTTATTTTTTAATAATGTGTTGCATTTGAATGTACATCACAATATGAAAGAATAGATCAGTCGCTACTTCAGATACATTGCAACTACATTTTTTTTTCCCCCATTGTTTGAGTGATTTGTGAGGATTCACCAGCCAAAAGTATTTCTTACAAGCCATGAAGCTGTATTTTGCATTTTTTTATTTATTTTTACCCCAATGACAATGACCAATTGCTTCCAAATCACTTATTCTTGAGACACAAACAGATGACAGACTCTGCTATTGATCCTCAATCATTAATAATGATCGGTTTCTCTGAAGCAGTTCTGTAACGCTGGACGCTTTGTGCACTCTAGTGAGGGATCTGCAGTGCGCTCTAATGAGGGAACATCACGACAGCTTCACCAATGTCTCCAACCCTCTTGAGGCTCAATAAACGCTCCGAGTTTACACTCCTGAAAGATCAGCACGAGCATCGACACCGAGGTTCAAACCCCAGAAGAGCCTTCAGAGATGCGCAGTTCACCGCTTAAAGCCAGCACTGGAGAAGCTACTGATTGTGTTTCTAGGCTAGTCTAGAGGTGTGTGTGCTTTCAGACTAGTGTTAATTTTGTTCTTGAAAACTATGATGAAAAATATTTGTTAGCGACTTTTTGTTCTATGACGGAGATGAGACAAGATGACACTGACGTCATTAAACAATGTGACTACCCTTACGAAAAAAAAGTTTATTCTAGTGTGCTATTAGTATACTTCTTTTAAACTAAAAAATAGAAAAGTATACTTTGTCTACTTTTTATGTACTTCTCAGAAATATACTTAAAATGACATTTAAGTATACTTGACTTATACTTAGAAAAAGTCTAAATTTATTTGAGCTATAGCCTACTTGTGCTCCATTGTGCTATTGTTATACGGTAGGGGGCGCTATTACACATCTTCTGTACAGAATTTCCAAAACACAGAAACAGCGAAGAAGAAACCGAAAAACAACAGATGCTTCCACACATAATCTTTTTTTTTTTTTTGCTTCCACACGTAATCTTAACCCGATCATCAGACATAAAACAGCATCAAAACTGTGTAACGTTGCGGAATAAAATGTTGACCCATGAAGAGGTAATAATGATTGTCAAGCTTTTCGGACTCCATCTACGTTTTGATTATCATTCTGCATCTAATTCATAGTCTTTTTTCAGCTTTTTGTTTAAAATGTTGTTTATTTATTTATGAAACTTACCCACATTCAAATGTTTATAAAAAAGAATGCATGAAGCTAGAATAAAATGTTTT